ACACACACACACACACACACACACACACACACACACACACACACACACACACACACACACACACACACAAACAAAAGGAAATAGAGTTGAAAAGAAAACCAAAGGCGAGCTGGCAGTTAATTGAGTTTTGAGAAACAAAAGGAGAAGGAAGGACAGCGAGGAGGGTGTGGGGTGTGTGCGTGGGGGGCATCATCAGAATCGAGGGAGGAATAGGAGACATCAAGCCTAAATCAATACAAATGCAATGGAGCTGACGACGCTGGAAAAACAGATAGCACACGGCGGGCTTAAAGCCAAATCATCTGATTCATGATGAGGCACAAACACACTCCGAAACACACACACACACACACACACACACACACACACACACACACAGATCTATCACAGCTGATCCAGAACAGGAACATCAGAACTCAGACTGAACCCGGGTCAAACGGAACAACATGTGCAGGACTGATGGGTTCTTGAAGGGACCTGTTCATTGGTTCTGGTTCTGGTCCTGCAGGTACCAGCAGCATCCTGGCGGGGGCGCTGTTGGCAGCGGTCTACAGATGTACGGGTCGGACCTACGACACGGACTCCCTGATCCACGGAGTCCTGTACCTGGAGCAGATCCTGACCACAGGTCTGCAGGGTCCTCCTTCCTCTTCATCTTCCTCCTCCTCCTCTTCATCCTCTTCCTCCTCCTGCAGGTGGGGGCTGGCAGGACCAGGTGGGCGGTCTTGTGGGTGGAGTCAAAGTGGGTCGTTCCCGGGCGGTCCTGCCCCTGCAGGTGGAGGTGGACCACCTGAGTCCTCCTCAGGACTTCCTGGAGTCTCTGCAGCAGCACCTCCTGCTGGTCTACACGGGGAAGACCCGCCTGGCCCGGAACCTGCTCCAGGTCCGGTACCGCCCGGCTCCTCTCTAACAGAACCTTTTTTTACTTTAGTTTTAACGACGGTGTGTGAGATGATGTTTGGATCAGAACCAGACCCGGGTCTCGGTGCTGGACCCTGATGATGTTCTGTCCCTGCAGGACGTGGTCCGCAGCTGGTACAGCCGCCTGCCGGCCATGGTTCTGAACGTCCAGCAGCTGGTGTCCAACTCTGAGGAGTGTGCCCGAGCGTGTTCAGAGGGTGGGTTTGACCAGGTCCAGAACCAGAACCAGGACCAGGACCTGCTCACAGCTGGAGGCTTTAACCCTTCTCGCTCCCCTGCAGGTTCTCTGGTGGACCTGGGTCGGTGTTTGGACCGCTCGTGGCAGCAGAAGAAGCTGATGGCGCCGGGCTGCGAGCCGGCCTCGGTCCGAGTCCTGATGGAGGCTCTGAGACCGCTGGTCCTGGGTCAGAGCCTGGCCGGTGCCGGGGGGGGCGGCTTCCTGTACCTGCTGACCCGGGAGCCCCGGCAGCAGGAGGCGGTTCTGCAGGTTCTGCACAGAACACCGGTGAGATTCAGGTCCAGATATTACAGCCCGACACGTATCAGGGCTCAGATTTATCAAACCGTGCGTACGCAAGCTTTATAAATCTGAGCCCAGAACCTGGTACTTCCAGGGTACGCATCGGGCCGCATCATGATTAAACTAAAAACCAGAACCAAGTGGACCTGCTGGATCCGTCTGAGACGTCCCATCACACTGAGCGGTTTTGTTTCAGGGTCTGGGGGACGTCAGCGTTCACTCCGTGGAGCTGGACTCTGAGGGGCTCACCGTCCTGAACCCAAACACCGGGACCTGAAGAGTTCTGGTTCCTGAGGCCCGACAGGATTTCAGCTGTGATGAAGTCTGATGATCGTTAGAATCAATCAAATGTTTTTCTGTTTTAATAAAAATAACTTTGATTCATAAGAACCAGTGTTGTATAAAGTACCACAAAGTGATACTTGAATAAAAGTACAAGTATCTTATCATGAAAAAACTTTGGTAAAAGTTAAAGTCTCCTTTAGGAATATTACTAGAGTAAAAGTACAAGTATTTTACCAAAAATACTTTGGTAAAAGTTAAAGTCTCCTTTAGGAATATTACTTGAGTAAAAGTCTTAAAGTATGTGATATTTGTTGTACTTAATAAAAGTCAAAGTAACAATTTAAAATGAGCAGTTAGATTTTCTGTAAGGACATTTATTAGGAGGTGACCTCCCCAAAACATACTTTTTTCTAAAGTCTGTGATGGACTGAGTACAATGTGGTGTCAGGATGGTAAATATTTATACTTCTCATCCAACTACAATTAAATCCACTCTTTCCAGGAGGAACAGTTTATCAGGATAATAGTTTTTTACAATATTGAGCCGAAATTAAAGGAGTAACAACTTTCTACTTCTTGTTTTAATATATAAGCAGTAGAAGTAAAAAGTAGGATGAAAAATAATAATTCAAGTAAAGTACAGATACCCAAATTCTACTTAAGTACAGTAACAAAGTATTTGTACTTAGTTCGGGGTTCCTACAGCTTAAGGCACGATATATTTCAGACTAATGCCACTTAAAATGAAATTTAAGACCAACTTGGTCTTAAATAAACAATAAACAAATGGAATAAAACCGACAATTTTATCCAAATGTTTATTTTAACACAGAACAACCAGCATTAGAAGCATTTATTAAATAATCTTTAAAAATAAATAAATGTTACCAATTATTTTAATATTTGAGACAAATTAAAATCATCCTTAATCCTTGTTTTAACATTTTTAAGACCTCTGAAAGATTGATTTAAGACATTTTAAGGCTAATTAAAGCAGGAACCCTGTTAGTTATTTACAACTCTGATAAGAACTGATCAAAGACTCAGAACTGATACTTTATTGATGATTGGTTCATACTGAGCTGGAGGTTTTTCTGTCAAACATTAAAGTTCTGTTTTTCTCCACATCCTGAATCAAAGCTGAGACTCTAATAAAAACACGTGAAGTATGAAAAGTTTGTGTTCAGAGAGAAGGTTCTGGAGTCCGGCAGGAGCAGCTGCAGGAAAGCTCCTGCTCAAAGATCAAACTTTTCTTCACAGATGAGGTGTCCGTTCTCCTCGTAGTCCTCCCGGGTCACCAGCATCTCATCGTAGTCCGGACTGTGAGCCAGCAGCTTCCCGCCCTCCCACGAGTAACAGACCGGACTGAAAACCAGGCACAGCTTTTATTATCCGACCCGAACAAACAGAACCACCAGAACCGGCTCTCGTCTCTTACTTTGAAGGTAGAAGCACCGACACCGGGAGGTGGGCGGGGACGAGGCATCGGAGCTCCGCCTCCAGACGTTCTCTGAAGCCTGGAAACAACGTGTTCCCTCCGGTCAGAACAATGTTCTGGTAGAGGTGAGGCTGCATGTCTGATGGAAGGAAAATACGACAGGTTTTAGTTCTTCTCATTTAAAACTTTATTACAAATGTTTTAAAGTCTGAACATTAAAACATTTTTAAACAGAAGCTCCTATTTATTTATTTTTTCCACCTTTATATTAAAAAAAGAAGAAGAATACAGGATACTGGATATTTAATAATCACATGAAGGGTTACACCAACTGGATTGATGTAACTAAATGAAAGAAAAAGTGTAAAATATTGTATTACTTTCTGTAATTAGATGAAACTCATTTTCTTCATGTTATTTATAAATAAATAAAAAAATTTAATTAAAAAAACAGAAGTTCCGCCCACTGAATGATGTCAGAGAAACCATAATGCTGCAGAACCTCCTCTGATGCAGGGTTATTATAGTTCACTAAAACTAACTAAATAACAAAAAATGAAATTGAAAAAGCATTTCAGTTAACAAAAATAAATAAAAACTGTAATAAAATGAAAAAACAACAAAACTAAAACTGTATAATCTTTTTACAAAACTAAAACTAAGCATTAAAAATGCAATAATAACTAATAAAAACCAACAAATCCACTAAAAACTAATTAAAACTGAATTAGAAAAAAAGTCACAACAAAATAAAACTAAACTATAATGAAACATATAAAACTATTAGAACCTTGGTCTGAAGGAGGTCCAGTCTGGTTTCAGACCATCAGAACTGGTTTTGTTTTTGGTTTCTGAGGAACGAACCTTCAGGCAGAGACTGGACCGAGTCCACGATGGCCTCAGGAAGTCCCATCTCCTGGATGCCGATGTCCGACGGGTGGAAGAGCATCTCAGGAACGGCGAAGCGCTCGTTGGCCAACCTCAGGATCTGCTCACCTGTCTTATACTTTCCACTGAAGACCACCTCTTCCTGTGGCTGGAGGACAGAGACCAGAGGAGGACAGAGACCAGAGGAGGACATGAGGAACCAGGTCTTTGGGTGTCTTGAGGGCCAGCAGGACCAGGTGGTCTCACCTTACAGAAACCTTTTTTGATGGAGCTGAAGTCTGGAAGAACGTAGTCCCTCATCAGGGTGTTGTCCTCGCTCTTCAACCTGAAGGACAGAAAGAAAAGACAGACGTCCTGTCAGGACAGTCCCCCTCCTCTGAGCAGCAGAGGACAGTCTGTGTGTCTTACTGAGCCGTCTCCATGTCCCTGTAGAAGTTCTGAGACACGTAGCAGACGTCCTCTTTGACCTGGTTGATGACGTACGTCTCGTCCATCACGTGAAGCTGCCTGGAGACGATCAGAGTTAGAGGACAGGACAGAGGACAGAGGGGACGAAGGACACAGAGGACAGGACAGAGGACACAGAGGACAGAGGGGACGAAGGACAAGCTGAAGACAACACAAACCTGTATGAGATGATCTCCTTCAGATGATTGGTCAGAAGTTTTCCTCCAACGTTGATCCTGAAACAAACCAACAGACAGCTGTTAGTGATGAAGATGATGATGATGAAGATGATGATGTCACTTCCTCTGACCTGCGGATGCCCTCCTTCAGTTTCTTGCTGCGACAGTAGGGGGCGACGTGGGTGAAGGAGAACCCAGAGTCCACCACCAGGCAGCAGAGCTCCGAGTGCTCTGAGTGGAAGAAGTGATGAGAGCTGAGAGAGCCGGCTGCAGAGAGACAGGTCAGAGACAGGTCAGAGACAGGTCAGTGACAGGTCAGAGACATGTAAGAGAGACAGGTCAGTGACAGGTCAGAGACAGGTCAGAGACAGGTCAGAGAGACAGGTCAGTGACAGGTCAGAGACAGGTCAGAGACAGGTCAGTGACAGGTCAGAGACAGGTCAGTGACAGGTCAGAGACATGTAAGAGAGACAGGTCAGTGACAGGTCAGAGACAGATCAGTGACAGGTCAGAGAGACAGGTCAGTGACAGGTCAGAGAGACAGGTCAGAGAGACAGGTCAGAGAGACAGGTCACAGACAGGTCAGAGACAGGTCAGAGACAGGTCAGTGACAGGTCAGAGAGACAGGTCAGTGACAGGTCACAGACAGGTCAGAGACAGGTCAGAGACAGGTCACAGACAGGTCAGAGACAGGTCAGAGACAGGTCAGTGACAGGTCAGAGAGACAGGTCAGTGACAGGTCAGAGACAGGTCAGTGACAGGTCAGTGACAGGTCAGAGACAGGTCAGAGACAGGTCAGTGACAGGTCAGAGACAGGTCAGTGACAGGTCAGAGAGACAGGTCAGAGACAGGTCAGAGACAGACAGGTCAGAGACAGACAGGTCAGAGACAGGTCAGAGACAGACAGGTCAGAGACAGACAGGTCAGAGACAGGCAGGTCAGAGACAGGTCAGAGACAGACAGGTCAGAGACAGACAGGTCAGAGACAGACAGG